ATATGGGAGGCCAGTCTGAAGATGGGACATACAAGACATCAGGGTGTTCAGTGGTGCCTGGAGCAGCAAGGGGAAGCACAGGAGGGAGCTGGGGATTGCCATAACCCCAGCCCAGCGTGGATGGAGCCAGGCTGCACTGGAGAGGACTCCATGTCATGTGATTCATCCTGCACAGACCTGAAGACTGTACCAACAAAATAAAGAGCAAAACACTCGTGACTATCTCTGTTAAGAAGAAAAAGTAGAACACGAGAAGGGAAAAGAAGGGACAAGCACAAAGAGAAGAGCGGGGGGTAAAGCCCAACAGCCATGGGTGAAATCAAGGAGTGACACAGGGACACACACGTGGGTGGTGTGGCCCCACCATCATGCCCTGCTCAGCCTGCCCCCCCTCTGCATGAGGTGGCAGTGCCTTGCAGGGCTAAAGTTGGCACTCACCAGAGCAGAGCCTGGTCAATCCCTGGGGCAGTGCTGGAGTGCAGGGCACCAGTGGGAAGGTCTCTGCTGTGGGATCACCATCCCAGCTGCCCCGCCGGGGAGGGGCCTCTGGCTGCAGGCACACAAGCCGGGCTCTGGGTGTTTGCTTTGCATTCTCCCAGGCTGATGATAACCACCTGCTCCTCAGCCAAGGCTCCAGCTCACCATGCTGAAATTCAAGAGGTATTTGATCACGTAAGTGGATTTTTTTATGTATTTATTTAAGTAAAATACTGTTTCCCTAAGTAAAATTCTCTTTCCAGCCTACCCAGAGGTGATGTCCTTGTGGGTCCCCCTGTGTTGCAAAACAGTTGGAGATTTAAGTGGTGATGGGAATAGGCAGAGGAGCATTTCTGCTCTGTGTCTGTGTGGTGCACTCTGGGGTGGTGGGGCTTCTCTCTTCTGGTGAAGTTCCAAGGGCAGCAGGAAAACAGCACCTTTTGTAAGGCTGTTACCACAAAAGAAGGAGTATGGCAAAGAGAGAGCAAGTAGGATCATATGCTCATAAAATCACAGAATGGTTTGGGTTGGAAGGGACCTTAAAGATCATCTCATTAGATCCCCCCTGCCACGGGCAGGAACCCCTTTCACTACATCAGGTTGCTCATCCAGCCTGGCCTTGACCACCTCCAGGTGTAAAGGCAGGATGCTGGTCCCTCCTGCTGCATCCCAGGCAAGGGGATCACCAGCAGAGTAGATGTGGAGCAGAAACCTGGCTCTGTGCAAGTCTTTCACATGGCCAGCCCAGTGAGTGCAAGTAGGGTGAGGTGCCTCTTCCACAGCCTCCGGTTTGGAGAGGATGGACAAGGATCAGGGAAGGGCAAGGGTTGACTTCACAGCAAAGTCGTTTGGCTGGGGGAGAGCATTTTAGGGCTGAGGTGCAAGGGGGCTCAGGGTCGTTCCCAGCCCAGCTGTGTCAAGGGTAGGGTGGGCACTGACACAGGCAGGCAGTGCTGTTGTGCCCTCGTTGTGCTGCTCTATCTTCTCCTGAGTGTCCCGCTGATCATTTTGCCCATTTTCTTATTTATAGTAAAAAAAAAAAGTCTGGAATTACTGGTCAGAGGAAGTAGGCTGTGGCTGGTGTACAGATGGTGTACATTAATTCCCCATGCAAAATTGCTGCTTCCTGGAGCACACCTGGGCACAGCAAAACAATAAAGTCTTTTTCTGCCACTTATCTGCCTGGCGAACTCTGCCCCAGCACCTCCCACAGCAGGACCCTGCAGGGCTTGGCATCCACCTGACCATGGACCCATCCCCTGCAGGGATTTCTGTGTTGGACTGGGACAGGGCACAGGTCAGGCAGAAGCACATCCTCCACTGCTTCAAGCAGAGGGAAAATAATGGCAGGGAAATCCACTGTACTGCTGTGAGCCAGCAGCACCTGCTGCCGAGCAGCACCCCAGGCACCCCCTGCCCTGCTGGGACACGGCACTGAGACACTCCTGGGGACATCATCCCTTGCAAATAAACCACCAGCACACTGGGTTTGGATTGAATCCCTTGAGCCAGCACAGGAGGATTCAGCTGCTGTGACTGCCACTGTGACCCCTCACAGCCAAAGGCATCCCTAGGGTGCTGCATACATGTCTGCACCCTGGTTTGTCACTTTTGGAGGTGACAGCACACAGGCTCTGATCTGAGGGGGTTCTTCAGCTACAGCCTGCCTGCAGAGGGAGGCATCTTCAGAGTCTCTGCAGGAGCTGGGCTCTCACAGCCCAACCCACCCTGCAGGGCAGTGCCGGCTCCCAGCAGCTCCGAGTGCACCTTGGACATCTTCTGGTGCTTTGGTCTCAAGTATTTAACTCTGCCCCAAGGCACTCATGACCCTGATCCCATCCTGGTGTGTTAAATGGAGAGAAGGCTGTACAGGGGTTACCCACAGAAGCCAGCTACAACTCATCCAGCTGCTCCAGCCTCCAAGACAACAGCTGTTCATGCCACATGTGCCATTTAACCCCAGTTTTGCTGCCTTCATTGCAACTTCTTGGTATCTTCAGCACAAACTTCAGTGCTGCCACTTGCTCAGCACACCCTCCTTGATGCCTGCATGTCCCCCCAGAGCCAGCCTGGAGAAAGGGAGGAAGGGCTCTGTTTTTCTGCTGTCCTGACCAGACCCAAGCAGCCAGCCACGTGTTATGTGTTCTCAACTGGGTGTTCAACCAACACAATGACCATCTCAAAAGAGCAAAAGGACCTGGATCTTTCCCCCAGGTTCTCTACAGGTCGAGAGTTTAGGACCTTTGTGGAGGCAAGTCAAGAATTATATCTGCACCAAATACTTGAGGAGATGATTTGCATCATTCTGCTTTTGTTACTGGGTGCTCATGCAGATTCCCCCCAAGAGAGAGTATAAATGTATCACTAAATATCACAGTTATTCACCTCTTCATTCCTTTCTTGGTGCTTGTGGTAGGCTTACCTTGAGTGTTTGGAGAGTTGGACTGAGTTGCCAACCAGATCTGTCAGGCAGAATCATCCTGGAGCAGCTCCTCCCTCACTGCCTTCTCCCTCTTTGGTCTCTGACCTTTCACACAGAGTTACTTCAACAAGCCTTTCCTCACACCAGCTCTGGGGCAGCCTCGAGTCTCTGCTTCCCCCTCTCCCTTTAACATCCCTTGGCATTTTATGTGCTGTTAAAGCATTTGGCATTTTTCTGCTCCTTTGCTTGTCGTGCCCATTCATCTCTGACAGCACGAGGCTCTCCTCATGCTGCTGGCACAGCCAGGCAATGAGCCAGGGGCACATTTGCCAAACACCTGTCTCATCCAGGCTTGGCAACCTGCTCCTCAAGTGGAAAAGGTCATGGGTACCACCAGTTTGCCATCAGGTTTGGGGATGCTGTGCTGCTGACGTGTAGTAATTACATGCCTTTTGAATCCCCAGTAGCACTGCCATGACCTAAGACCTCCCAGTCTTCCCAATCCCAAGTACTTTAGAAACTACAAACCTCCTGGGGGGAGCTCAACGCTTCAGCTTGGTAAAGGATGTTATTGGGAGCAGGGCAGAATCATATCCATGAGTGTCCAAACCACTGGAAGCAGCACTGTCGCTATCAGACTACTGCTTAGTCATAACAGTTGATGTTTTTTTCTGGAACAAATCCAATTTCTCAGTAACAACCCCAAATTTCTGACCTGTCTGACGCACGTGACCACTTCGGACAGCCCACATTTGTGTCACTGCTGGCTCACCAGGCAAGTACTGCTCCCACGTGTCACAGGACTGCCTGGAGTAGGAGGTAAAGCATCATGAAGATGAAGAAGCTCCAGGACAAGCAGGTCTGTGCAGTCCCAGTCCCACTCTCTTGGTTCAAATCTGACCACTGCAGGAAGCGAGCAACACCAACCAACACAGATCAGCTGTCAGAACGCGGCTTCTAAGCACACTCTGACCAAATTCCTGCTTTCATTAACTCTTTCTATTTAGATTCCTCCATTTCATGCTCAGTAAAGCAGCCTGTGACCCTTCCTGCCTCAGAGAGGGGAGAGCAGGCATGTGGGGCTGGCAGGCTGGAACCCCCCCAGCAGAGCCCACCCCAGAGGATTTAACCAGATCTTCAGCACAAATCATCTCCTGTTAGACAACAATTGGCTTCCTGGGTAGAAACCAGCAGAATCACAGAATCATTCAGGTTGGAAAAGCCCTCTAAGATCATTGAGTCCAATTGCTCCCCCAGCACTGCCAAGGCCACACTAAACCATGTTGCCGAATGCGATAACTACACGTCTGTTAAATCCCTCCAGGGATGGTGACTTCGCCTCTGCCAGGGCTTGACTATTGTTTCCACAAAGAAATGAAATGTAAACTATTTTTTTTTCCAGGAAACTTAGTCCCCCAGTTGCTCCACTAAAGATTAGGACTACAGCTGAACTCCACCAGGATGTTGCAGCAAGTCCTACAAGCAGTAGAAGCCCCGTGGCAGTGTTTTCTGTGGCCTGGATGTCACCACAAACAACCCAATCCCCCACAGCGCTGCACTGATGACCTGTAGAAATCACACTGCCCTTGCAGACTCAGCTAAAACCAGACAAAAATCCAGGCCACACACTGGAGGGGCATCGCTGGGGCCCCCATGGTGGCATCACATCTTCAGCCACTGCTGGAGCCTCTAACAGCAGGCACTGAGAGCAGGGAGAGCAGGGCAAACAAAGATTTTATTGTCCAGGTTGATAGAGATGGAGTCCTGATACTTCTAGACCAGGCAGGGCAGGGAATACGCAGGGAGCGCCTGCTCCTGGTGCCAAGGTGGGAACCCAGGCTGCTCCAGGAAGGTGTCCCTGAGCAGCCAAGGGAGTTGGCAGTTACCACTGTTTACTTTTCAGAGGACTATCTGTGGCCCATCTAGAAATTTCCACTGGGCTCCAGCGCTTGGCACAGCCTCGGAGGTCCCTCGGCTATCACTGCCTCCGCATCATTTCCGCCCGCACCTGAAAGAAAGATAAAGAAATAAAACAAGCCTCAAGGCACCTTTGCCTCACACATTTCCCCATGAATGGTCTGAAATATCGGTTTCCTTGCAGGAAGCTGAGTGCAGTCTACAGGGTCCAGCCAGGTCGGCTCTGGATCTCCTTCAGCCTCCTCATCCTCCTCCTGGTCACCCTGCAAGTCGTGGAGAAGCTGCAGCCTTCCAGGTAGGTCCAAAGCAGGATTACAGAACTGCACCTTATCCTCCAGCCTTTTGCTGACCACTGAGGTGGGCTCGAAACCACTCTTCTGAAAACCACCCAACAGGGTCTTCCTTAGACAGGGAGGAAAATCCAAGTGGGAGAGGACTCTCTGAGGCTCCCACATCCCACCCCTATGCCCTGGTCAGAGCTGAGCCCACTCTGGGGTCAGGCCAGGTTGCTCTGGGCTTTGTCCTGGCTCACCATAACCCCCTACAGATCTTGAGCCCAGTTGTCCCAGTCTGGGGTTATCTGCAATTGTTCCTCCAGCTTCTCTAGGCAACTTGCTCTTCTCTGACTTTGCCTCCTCTTGCTTTGCCCCTTCCATCGTGCTCCCGCGAGACAAAGGCATTGACACAGGCTGCTGACCTGTCCTTCTCTTCTTCATAGAATCATAGAATCCTTAAAGGTTGGAAAACATCTCTGAGCTCATCAAGCCCAACTTCTTGCACTCATCCTGACTCCCCAGGGCAGGGGTGAAGCCCTACACCTACCAGCAGTGCCACCTACCCCAAGAAAGATGGGCAAACACACTTGGTGGTGTCTGTGGGAGGGCTCGGGGGGGCTCACTGGGCTGCAGAGGAGTTGCCCTCTGCACATTCCTTCCGCTCTGATGCAGCTGAGCATCGTGTCCTCCCCATTACAGGAACTGCCAGTGTGAGGTGGAGCGTGACCTGCAGCAGAGCACGGGCCAGGGGCTCAACTCTGGCCTCCAGACACCTGACCTGCTCTGGGAGGACAATTCCCTGCAGTGGCAAAGGAAAGCTGTGCCAGACCCCACTTCGACTGAGGACCTGCATGTCAGCTGGGAGACCTCACTGGAAAGCAGCCCAGGCAGCCCAGAGGAGCATGAGACACGGCAGCCTGTGGAGAGCAGTAAGAAGGTGGAAGCTCATCTATTGCCCACGAGGCTGAAACCCCAGCTCCCTGTCCTGAGAAAAGCAGCCAGGGAAAGTCCTTCTCCAAGCCTTCCTGGCAGGATCACCACAGTTTTGGCAGAAGCTGTCACCAGGAATTTCATTGTCTTTGCAAACAGACTGAGCACTAAGGAGAACGGGCAAACGTCACCAGCCAGAATGACACAGGTGGAGGTACAGAACCAGTCTCAGCCTCAAGCTGTGGCTTCCCCCAGCCATCAGAGGAGCAGTTCACTGACAGATCCCGTCCCAAACTCAGCTCAGCCCCTGCAGGCAGAGGACTCTTACGAAACACGCCCAGAGACAGGATTTTTCCCAAACTGGACAGCAGCCTCTATGGTCGAGGAGGGGACAAATGGAGGGGGTCGGCAGGCCAGAGGAGTCGCCCCTCAAGGGAAGGCGTGTGAGCCCCAGACTGACATTGTTTTCCTCAAGGTGCACAAGAGTGCCAGCAGCACCGTCATGAACGTCCTCTTCCGCTTCGGCGAGACCCACAACCTCACCTTCGCCTTCCCCCTCGGCGGGGGCTTCCAGCTCTTCTACCCCCGACACTTCATGGCGAGGTTCGTGCAGGGCTTCTCCCCCAGGAGCCCCCGGCGGTTCAACATCCTCTGCCACCACATGCGATTCCTGCAGCCGGAGGTACAGGCAAAGCCACGACCCCTGGGAAGGGCAAGCAGGGGAGGGAGACAGGGGCTCATGGGGCGCAAGGCGGGGCACCTGTAAAGCATGCAGACTCTTCAGGGATGAGTCACAGGCAGCCAGGATTGCCCACGGGTACCTTTCACGTTGTTGGCATCTCCTGAGAGCTTCTGGGAGCAGGTTTGATGAATCACTCTGCTTTGACCCGTGACAAGATGGGAGACAGCACCTGTAGCTGTCAGCAGCTATCATCTCCTTCTTGTCTGGTGGGCCCTTGGAGACATCCTGTTCTCTGGACAGGCCATCAGGGAACCACCAGAGGAGAACATCTAAAGTGCCTCAGTTCAAGTCAGCCATGCCCAGCATCCACCCCTCTGGATGCCACTTGATGATACACAGGTCTTGGGAAAGGCAAGGAGACAGGATGTATCTCCATCCCAGAAAGCCCACACAGGTGTGGCAGCACATGGTGGGGAGGTTTGGTCACTGCTCCCCTCATGTGCCTCTTCTGGGGCTCTCCACAGCTCCTTGGATGAGCTGCACCTTGAAACCCTCCCCAGCACCCACTATCTCCCACCCCAGTGAGCACGTCTGCTTGCCAGGACTGTGGGTAAGCAGGCCCCTTGTCCCCACCCCACCTTTAAACTCTCCTTTTTCTCCTCCACAGGTGCGGAAAGTGGTGCCCAGCTCTGCCACCTACTTCTCCATCCTGAGGAACCCCGTGCAGCTCATGGAGTCCTCCTTCACGTACTACAAGGGCGCGTCGGCCTTCTCCCGCGTGCGCAGCCTGGAGGAGTTCCTGAGCCAGCCACACCTCTACTACGACCCCGCCAGGGGCGACAGCAACTACGCCAAGAACCTCATGACCTTCGATTTTGGCTTCAACCCCAATGCAGAGGTGTCTGCTGAGCGGGTGCAACTCATGGTAAAGGCCATCGAGGCGTCCTTCGACTTCATCCTCATCTCCGAGTACTTCGACGAGTCCATGGTGCTCCTGAAGGAGATGCTGTGCTGGGACCTGGACAGCGTCGTCTCCTTCCCACTCAACACCAGGGACAGCAGTACCAAGTCCTCCCTCTCGGGCAGCATCGTGGAGAAGATAAAGGAGTGGAACAGGCTGGACTGGGAAATCTACACTCACTTCAACAGGACCTTCTGGGAAAGGATCGACCGGGACATCGGCCGGGAGCGCATGGAGCGGGAAGTGAAGGCGCTCCGGGAGCGGCAGGCGGAGCTGGCAAGGACCTGCCTGCAGGGCACGGGCAGCGTGGCCCCGAAGGACATCAAGGACTCTTCCCTGAAGCCACTGCAGCACGGGGGTGCCAGGATCCTGGGCTATAACCTCAAGCAGGGCTTGGATAAGGAGACGGAGCACATGTGCCGGCGCCTGGTGACCCCGGAGCTGCAGTACAGCAGCGCTCTCTACAAGAAGCAGTTCCCCCCAGAGCCCCCCGAGACCCCCCAGCCCACTCCCTCTGGGCAAGGCAGTGCCCCACAGCACCGGCTGGAGGGCACCCAACACTGAGCCTCCCTGCCCCTCCAGGCATCTTCTCCAGCGCCTCGCTGAAGGGCCAGCCGAGGGCACTCCAGATCCTGGCTTGGGGGCTGCTCCTGCCCTGGAGAGGGGGTGGGCTGGGGGCTGCTGGCAGCCCCTTGTCACCTCTGTCTGTGCAAGGCTGTGCACAAGCTCTGGGTGCTACACACTGCTGTGGAGCAGGATGGGCTGCAATGGGGGGTCCCAGGGGCTCGAGATGACTTTTCCAGAGGGAACCCTCCCCCCCCAGTCAGCAGCTGAAGCCTCGGCAGCAGAGAGCAGATCCAGGAAGGCAGCCCCAGTCCCCACGCCAGAGACTGCAACAGTGCAGGGCCAAGCTGTAAATCAGAGCCGTGGAGTTTGATTTACAGCTTGGGAATGAGTCTGTCTGTCTGTCCAGCTGCAGCTCTCCTCCGCTCCACCTTAACGCTACCGTGCTGGAAAAGCAGCCTCTTAATTAAAAATAACAATATCCACTGCCACTCCTTAAATTCCCCTTAATTACATCAATTTACCCCAGTAGACAATCTGCCTGGTAGACACTCTCCCCAGCAGCCCAAGAAACAGATCCCTGGAGCTGATGATCTGGCACCAGGGTGTCAGCCTGCAAGTTCCATACCCATGGGGCTGGGGGAGGCCTCGTGAGCATCTCTGCAGCCAGACATCTCAATCCACCGCCTGGAGCAGCCATAGGAACATCCTACGCCCTGCCTGGGGAAAGGGACCACAGGAACGGGTTGTGGTGGGCGAGTCAGCCTTACTTTTTGCACCCTGCACTTATCCACAAATCAAAAGCAGAGCCAGCAAATCAGCTGGGATAAATGGAGGCCCCACCTCTGGGTTTTCAGCTGATTGCCAAACCAAAAGAGGTTCAGGAAAAATTGTGCGGGGGGATCTGAGCATCCTGGGCTCTCCCTGGGGCAGCCACGTCGAGCCTCAAAGGTTTAGGTTTACCCCCAAAGGTGTCCTGTTTCCTGCTCTGTTTGACCAGGATAAAAGCCAGACTGTGCTCCCAGTGCCTTTTCCAGGGCAGTGCCAAGCATTGGGCCGGGCACGATGTGGGGACACCATTTTGGGGGTGTTTGCTGCACGGTTTTTGGGGTGTTGTTCATTCCATAAAGTTTAATCTCTGGGGCACATCCACACATCGCTGTGTTGGTTCCTTCCCTCATTTCTCCTGTTGGGATGTGGTGTGGGCTCATGCCTTGCAGAGGTCTAGATCCTCAGGAAATAGGAGGAGACTGTCCCTGCTCGAGCTCCTGCCAAGCTGACCCAGGGCAGGGACACTGGCAGAGCCGGAGCATCGTGTCCCCCCTGTGCTCTTCCCTGGGGAGAGAGCCCTGGGATGCAGCATCCATGGAGGGCTGTAGGGCCAGCACAGCCTGGGGGCATCCCCGTTCGCCCAGCAGGTGTTTCCCATTTTCAGGGATCAGATGGGCTGATATCCCTCAGCAGAGCTCACAGGAACAACATCACTGACTCAAATGCCAACCACAACATTTTTTATTATTATTATTATTATTATTATTCCACAAACCACAATTTTATCTTTAGGAATATTTTGCATAGACAAGAAACGGAGCCCAGGGATGCACTTGCTCAACCACACTGGCTGCCTGGGTCTCTTTTATTTTTTCTCACCACAGACCCTTTGTGCACCATTTCTTGATGTTTTACAGCACCAAAACCCTGGCCGAGCACACCCCCAGAGGAGCAGGGTCTCCTGTGGCCAGTGAACTCGCCTTGGAGCATTTTTAATTCCTCTCCAAGACCTGCCAGGTTCAGCCTGTGCAACTCAACATCCTCAGTTCAAGTCTGACTCAAACCCCACCACTTTTTGACCAATGTTCATTAATAACTCGAAAGATCAAAGCCTGCTTCCTCCCCATCCTAAGTTTCCAAGGCAGTTACTGGTTTATACTTTGGTTTTATGGCTGCAAGAGACCCAGTGAGGTTATTTCAGGCGTTGTACAATGCAATAACCCAGGGTTGCTCAAGCCTGCCCATGTAATAGTCTTTCTGGGAGCTTCCTGGCAATACAAGACAATTAGCAATTTATGCAAAAGTGTTAGTTTTTTTCTCACCGAGCTAACAATGAAGGCTTGGAACATTTAGGGCTCTCCAGGGAGTCTTTCAAAGCTATTCCCAAAGGAGCTCAGGGACTCAGACATCCTGCAAGGATTCCTTTGCGATGCTTTAAAACAGTCTCACCTGGTGGTAGGGACTGAACACGCAGGATGAGCAGCAAAATCTTCCATGCCTGGAAACCCTATCCCAGGAGAGGGGCTGCCAAGACCCCCTCTGCCCCACGGCTCAGGCACGAGGCTCAGAGTTGCTCTTCCCCCCCTTCCTCTTCCTCTTCGGTTCATCACCCTCCTCGTGCACTGTCACCTTCACCTTGGGTATCTTGTATTTGCTCTTCTGGCTGTAGAGGAGGTTTTTCTGGAAGAGCCGTGGGATGTTGCCCTGGTACAGCAGGAGGGCAGCAAACATCCCTGGAATGAGAGCACAGACCCTTCCGTGTCCTGCACTGAGCACCTCCACCCTCCCCACGGCTCAGCCGCGATTTCCAAACCCACGACCTTCACCATGAGCAAAAGGCAGCTCAGCACCACTGAAGCCCTCACTGAGAGCTGACAGACCTCCTCTGTATGGCTTTAAGAAGAATTTAGCCAGTGTTTCCTTGATGTAATAAGCTTGTTTTGACCCAAAAGGGCTGCAAACCACCCCAGTAGTCTTTTGCCACAGAACCATTCAGGTTGGCAAAGCCCTCCAAAACCACTGAATCCAACTATTCCCCCCCCACTAACCCATATCCCCAAGTGCCCCATCCACATGTGGCTTTTAAATCCCTCAAGAGATGGTGACTCCACCACTGCCCTGGGCAGCTGTGCCAGTGCCTGACCACACTTTCAGGAAGAAATTTTCCCTGATACCCAACCTAAACCTCCTCTGGCACAACTTGAGGCCGTTTCCTCTTGTCCTGACCCTTGTTACCTGGGAGAAGAGACCAACCCCCACCCTTCTTCACCCTCCTGTCAGGGAGTTGTCCCCAATTTCTGCATTCAAGGCAGCCCATATCCAGCTCCCTGTGATCATCCTGAAGCTGTGGACAACCCCAAACCACAGCTCAGCCTGTCATTGCTCTAAAACACCTTCGCTTTATCTCCCCCAAACTCAAGCCTCAGGGAGAGTTTTGCCCACGTCCTGTGCAGAAATTAGATTAAAAACCTGGATAGCCAAGAGATGACTCCAGAGACAAGGAAGCTGGAGGAAAAATAACACTTGCCACTGCCAAGACCCAAGTTCAGCCCCTTGCAGGAATGATTTGTGTTACACCCAGCATTCCTGCCTTGCCCACTGCCCCCCATCCCAGCCCCTGCCCCTGGGAAGATCTCACCTGCGAGGGGCCCCAGCCAGTAAACCTGGATGTAGTCCCAGAAGCTGTTCCCTGTGCAGTGGAAGGTGGTGGCTGTGGCCAGGGCAGGGTTGAAGAAGGCCCCTGTGAATGATCCGGCTGTGTGGGAAGAGAAACATGGCCAAGGGTCTCACCTGCATCCTTTGGGACACTGACAAAGAGCTGGGCCCACAGACCGTGACCCCTCCTGCCTGCCCAGAGCACCTCTGCTGCTGCCCAGCTCCAGCACCTGCATCCCTCGGGTGGGGAAAATCCCACCCTCGTCATCCTGAGCTTTGCAGGAAGCAGAAAAGCTCAGTTTGGGGCCAAGGGGTTGCATTAGGGGACATTGAAGGGAAGTGATCCCAGTCCTGGGCTTCTCAAATATCCTAAACTGCCGTCTTCATCCCAAAGTGATTGTTCCCCAAAACAAGTAGAAAACAAACATCTTGGCAGTTGTTACCTCGTTAATCATTACCTCTCCAGTCCTAGAAGATGAAAGAGGGGCTGTCCCTCCCCCACAAGTTAGGTGTTTTCCCAAATGACTCAGGAGTGCTGCTCACCTGTGTAGGTCAGGAAGGTGATGGTCGCTGCCAGCGCGGGGACCCGGCAGATGGGGTGACTCTGACGTGACTTGAGGAGGACGAGGTGGAACAGGAAAGAGCAGGTGCCTTCCACGAGGGCAGCGTGGGGCAGGGAGGTGTGGATGGAGGAGCTGCACTCCGATGAGATCAGGCTCTGGATGAAGTGGAACTGTGTCAGCTCCCAGGACCAGAAGAGCTTGGTGACAGCCCAGCCTGTCCCTGTGCCCACACCCTGGGCCAGCAGCTTGGCAGCTGTGGCTGCGAGACTGGACTCGAGCAGTAGGAACTCCTGGACAGAGACAGTTGGGTTGGCAGATGCTCCATCAAAAGAGGCGCCATGAACAGCGAAGAGAAGGAAGAGCAGAGTCAAGACCATGTCCAGGCCAAAGCCACCCCCCCATGGGCCGATCTCCATCAGCATCCTCAGCTCCAGGCAGCTCGTGCACAACTGTAACGAGCCAGCAAGTTCTCTGGCAAGGCAGCCATACGCTCTGGGAGACAGGAGCCTCTTGGAAAGCCACCTGAGCACCTGGCACATCCCAACAACCAGGAAAAAAAAAGCAATGGAGACATTGAGGGTGTCCATAGTGAGGGCTGTGCCGGGGGAGAGTCCGGACCAAACCCTGGGAAGGAGCAGAGGAAGCTCCCGCGGCTCCTCTTTATAAAGCTCCGTGTAAGCAAACGTGGCACAGCCTGACAGGCCTGGGAAATGCCACATGTGTGGCCCCTGCAGGGCAATGCCAGCTGCCTCCAGGAGCTGATGGAATCACAGCAGCTGGAGCAGCCAACATGGTGTTTGTCCCAGGAAGGAGGTGCCGGTTTTATTCCCGCTGGGACCCCAAGCACGGCATTCCCACCTGAGAGCCCCCAGCAGCTCCCCAGAGCTGCCAGGTCTCCCAAAAGGAGCAAAAATCTTCATTTGTTTTCTGCTTGGCTCCAATCCCTGTGGCTGCCCCATCCCTGGAAGTTTCCAAGGCCAGGTTGGATGGGCCTTGGAGCATCCTGGGCTA